TTTTTCTTGTATTCTTTTTCGTGAATCTACTATAAACAAAGTGAGATCATTCATAATAAAAAATCAATAAAAGGAAAACTTGAACGAAATCATCAATCAAAACTCAAGTCTTATGTGAATATTTTCTAAAACATAGAATTCACTTCATCTAAGAAATTTCAATTACCTTATAATTAAAATTTATCACTAAAGATAATCAATATTTCAAAATAAATGAATCTTCCAAAAATAAATATGACTTATTTTCGATTAATCCAAAGATTTATTAATGTATTTTTACAAAAAGAAATATTCTTGTATGGAAAAGATTGACTTGATTCTGTTTTGTAATGTATAAGAAAACATTGAATATGTGGAAATAAAATTATTGTTCAATAGATACATATTTGTTCGAGATGAAACTCATATGCTTGACTTAAAATAAAAACAAAACATCAATATTCATTAATTCAAATTAACATTGGCAAAGAAATTGTTTTCAATAAATTTGAACATTGACTAGAAATGCTCTAGTTTTTAATTTAAAAATAACCTTGACAGGTAATCCTTAGTGCGAAAGTCTTGTCACATAAGATTCGCTCATCTTTCAGCCACGAAAAGGCAACTGATCAGAAAACAGAATTTTTCCTTATTTTTTAACATATTTTTAGATTTTCCTTCTAAAATAATATTAAACAATTATCAGTAAATTTTGTAAATAAAGTCTAAAATTGTTTCAGTATGAAGGAAAATAGTCATTTAGCTTCACTTCTTAATTATTGTGTCTTGAAACAGCTCTAACTCAACATTATGGTAGAGTACTGAGCTCTTTTTAAAATAAAATATTACAGGAAGTGAAAACTCCTCTATGTGTTTTTACTAAAGAGCTAGTTCCTATGAAACTCACCATTAGTCAAACAATTGCTGTTTAAAAACTGGTTTTAAAATTACAACAGTTTTAAATTCTATCATGCAATATGAAACAAAAAAAGTACATACGCTACACGAAAGTGAGCTATTACATTCATTGGTTTAAATTGCAAATAGAAAATTGGCCAATATAACATTCTATGCAAGCACTATTTTGAACATTATGAAATAATCTGGCAATAGTTAGTTAATATTTCTATTGAATTATTAGCAATACATGGAATTCGTATAAAGAGATCTTCTTGAGTAGACTCAGATGTTAATTTGTGCGCATTTACGTATTATACTGTCATTATTTAAGCATTCAGCTCACTTGATGTCCTGATATCGTTCAATTAGATTTTTTTGAGGAACAACCTTCGAAGTATGTAAAGATGAGTATGATTGTAGAAACTCGTTATCAACAGCTTATGAAACTATTTATTCAAGTGTTTTTTTAAGGCTTTTTATTTAACTATACATGAATACGATATATTACGAGTTTCAAAGTAAAAGATCATTTGATGTTTTTTACTACCTTATATTTTTCAATTTCTTCCTAAATATAGACAGATTTTGGTGTTATTTCGTGTGCAAAATGTTCTGTTGTCAAAGCACACAAGCCAATTGTTTTTGCACACCATGTGCGTCTTGTGTAAATATGTTCGCGGTAAAGAATATAACAGAAAAGTAAAACACAGAAAAGAAACATAATACAAATAACGAACGGTAAGAAATCAATGAAAGTTACCTTACTGCAAAGGTAAAAAAAAAGATTCATTGGATAAAACCGGCAAGCAGTGTTACATACACAATAACAAGTGAAACTAACAGATTCGTGACAAAAAAATTTCTTCATATATTGGAATTGATTCATTTCGTTGTGGTAAGTAACTTATTATAATAATGCTAAAATTTGAAACAAGTCTATTAAATAACGGACATATTGTATTAATATAATCTGCACACTAGACACGATTGAAACTGACTCACTTTGTTATCTCTATGTCACTTTTATTGATTATTTTCATTAGTCTCAATTCATCATCAATTTCTATTTATTACGTAATTAGTTTGTTTGCTGTTTTTGTCACTGCTATACATCATGTTTAGTGAATCAAGAGACGAATGCTGATATATCAGCATAATGTGACCGAAATTTTAGTAACAATAGATAGAAAATGCTATCGACACAATAGCAAAACGTTCATGTTAGTGAGGATGAAGGTGGAAAGCTTCTTGTCTTCCAGAAATGCCTAAAAATCAAGTTGAAATGTTTCGGACCATACAACAATGAAAAAAAGTGAGGTGAAAAATCTTTGGACTAAAGAATAACGTATCCATGTAAAGCCGTAATGTTTTATGCCACAGGTCAAGCTCTAAGAGAGAGGTCAACCGAGGGAAAAACAGCGGACTTCAAGACTTCATAGAACTCTAGAAGACTTTATCAGACTTCAAGGCTGAAGTCTCAGTTGTTTCCCTTTCGTTATCAGGAGATCGAAAGATCAACACTGAAGAAAACAAGTACTATAAAAATTATCCTTTATTACTTTTGAGATATTTATTATTTTAATATTTCGTGAAAAACTTTCCTTTCTACTAAATATGACCACAGTAGAAGGAAAAGAAGCAACAGCGCAGCGTATTTTACGCATTACAGACATCGCCCAAGAACCATTGGAGTTCCTTGCACCTATTAGCGGTTATGCGAAAATGCCCCTTGTTTCACTTGAAGAGGCAGTCGAACCACTAGTTTCTATCCTACGAGACATTCAGAGTTACGCTTATGTCGCCAAACAAAGATGCGAGAATCCTACCGATGGATTGACACGAGATGAATCTGCTTCGATTATGCTGTACACAATGGGATGGGAACCACTCGATGAATGCCTGTATTTCGTTTTGAATAATACATTACGATCACCAGATCGACAACAAAAAATAAGACCATGGTATTTGTTTTTGAGACTTTTTCTTGGTGCACTCTTTCGTCTTCCATCACTGTCAAAAACTGCATACAGAGGTGTGAAATTAGATTTGAGCAAGCGTTACATCGAAGGAAAAACAATCGTCTGGTGGGGTTTCTCATCATGCACAACTACTGTTGGTATTCTACAATCAGAACTATTTTTGGGAACGACAAATGCCAGGACAATGTTTACCTTACAATGTCAATCAGCTAGAGATATTCGTAAACATTCGTATTACCAAGCTGAAGACGAAGTACTTCTTATGGCTGCAACTCAATTCAAAGTAATTAGTTATCTTAATCAAGATAATCTTCATATTATTCAACTAGAAGAAATTCATCCACCATTTCCACTCTTACAACCAGTGCCAATTGATATTCCGCCACCGATCAATCCAATTTGCTTAGGTAAGTGAAAAAAAAACAAAAGTATTGTCTGCTTAATAAATAGTACATCTACTTTCTATACCATGAAGGAAAGCAAGAATTATATCTCTCAATCAATGCATCATAATATATGTACAAGAAGAGTTGATGTTACTACCCTCCTAAAAACTGTTTAGAAATCAGAATATGTTTGACTAAGTGTAAATTATAAGAAAAAAAGATTTTTCATGAGAATTTTCCATTAAATTTAATCGAATCTTTGGTTCGGAAGAAAGACTTTCACAAGAAATAAATCAATTTTTTTCCCATATTATCTAGATTATCAATTTAAAACTTTATCAGTTTCAATCACTTTTTTGCTTTATCAATTAAAATATGTTGTCTCTCATACAATCTACATTATTCATTCAAATTAATTCGTTTTTGAAATTGATGAAAATCTTTGAAACTTTTTCCGTCTCTTGCAATCGATGAAAACAATTTAGCAAACGCTGAAAACATTTTTTTGCGACATGCTTCACTTTTGCGTTCTAAAATTTTCAGTGCTTTGTAGGTATGGTTGTGGGTGTAGATTCAGAGAAGCGCTATACTCACACCCACACTCTAATAGAACTTGGAGAAATCCCTAGAAAACCTTCCTGGTTTTCTGGTCTAGATCTTGGATAGAATTAGCGTTGGTTTTCTCAGTATTTGGAATTCTCCATCCTGAAAGATCTCCTTGCAAGATTCTCGAGGTGAAGGACTTTATTTCTCATGAGAAGTCTGCTCTAATATAACTAAATTTGTAGACTAGATTCTCGCTTTTATGACCTAGGATAGGGCTCGAGAAAAGTCTGGCCAAATATTGAGAGAATCCGTTCTCTTTACACTGTTAAGACTCTACGTTTTCTATTCAGAGAAGACATCTTAGCATGAGCTTCAATCAATCTCTGCAAACATGGATTAAGTAGGATTTGACACAGGGTCCTAATAGATCTTACTAGTTTTTCTGTAGGAAAGAATAGGCTATTCATTTTCACTAAATAAAAATATCCTACATTCTCGATCACTATTTCGGCGCAGGGTTTTCTTTACTCATGGAATAAAACTTAAAAAGGATATCAAATCAGCTTCGTTTCTCGAAGAAAAGTAATCTTTTCATAACAAACCTAAAATATTTCTGAATTTTTATCGGCGTCAAGAGCCTTTCATAAGTTTCGTGAAAAATGGTTTTTTTCGTTTAGATTATGTTAGAGAAGGACATTCTCGGAAATTTTAACAAGTTCTCTTCGAATAAGAGTATTCGATCTATAGCTTTTTCCAACGAGTGAACAGCATCTCTTCGACAAAACCGATCATTCTTCTCTTTTTTTTTCATTGTAGTGACTCCCAATATTCCAGTTGATGCTCGATGGGCACAGAATGGAAGGATCATTGCTGGAGGCCATGGACGAGGCTATGCAACGTATCAGTTTAAAAGCCCATTTGGTCTTTTCGTTGATGATGATCAAACGATGATCATCGCTGACGCGTCTAATCATCGTATCATCCAGTGGAAGATCGGTGAGACCAATGGGCAAGTGGTAGCTGGTGGCAATGGTCCAGCAAATCAATTGGATCAATTGAATTTCCCTACTGATATGTTGATCGACAAAGAAACTAATAGTCTCATTATCTGTGATCGAGACAATCAGCGGATCGTACGATGGTCTCGTCGTAGTGGCACCACTCATGGAGAAATCCTCATCGACAACATCTTCTGTTGGGGACTGGCCATGGATGATCAGAGATATCTCTACATCTCTGACGATAAAAAACATGAAGTAAGACGATACCGATATGGAGGGAAAACAGGAACCATCGTGGCTGGTAGCCATGAACGAGGCGATGGTCTGAATCAACTAAACAAGCCGCGGTACCTCTTTGTCGATCGAGCACAAGCTGTCTACGTGTCTGACAGAGATAATCATCGTGTGATGAAATGGAATAAAGGTGCAACAGAGGGTATTGTCGTCGCTGGAGGTCAAGGCGAAGGGAATGCTCTGACACAATTGTCGTGTCCTATGGGACTGCTCGTTGATACTTTAGGTACTGTCTATGTGGTAGACTCGGGAAATCATCGAGTGATGCGTTGGCCTAAAGAAGCGAAACAAGGCACTGTTATTGTGGGTGGTAATGGTCGAGGAGAAGGCGCAAATCAGTTGAACGAACCTGCTGGTTTGTTCTTCGATCGTCATGGCCATCTTTATGTCGTCGATTGTTCGCATTGTCGAGTTCAACGATTTTCTATGGAATAGACTCATGGAGCTGGCTAATTTTTCGTCAATTTAATAAATGACGATACATAAGAAAGAAGTAGCGGTTTGAAAAAGAGCGAATTTCATTTCTATTTTATTTGTACATGCGCAATGAGCAATCACTCTAGTGATGCCGTTACAGATAAAATGCCATGCATCCAGGAACCAGAGGATGTAAGTGTAGATATGCGGAGGATTCAGATTGGAACATTAGGAAGGTGTAGCTATCATCGTGGGAATATGTGGATGTGCTTAAATATCGTCGTAACTAATATATTCTCAATGAAGAAATGAGTCCCATAGAAAAGATTTCAAAAAAATAAATACCGGCAACCACTGATGGGATGTCGATGTCTGTCATCGGCTTTTCGTACACTCATACCCACGGTGTACATATGGACGAGTCAGTTAGTTCTTATACTGATATCGACGTTAACAGACAATAAAAATAGTGAATAGCATGCAGCTAAAGAAAATACGATATCACAGACAAAGTTCGCAGGACAATTTTATTATGGGTTGTGTAGTAATATTAGATGAAATTTATCAAGCCTATTTAATTGTGCATCATCATGGAATACTTACCCATAGATTTCTAACTCTTTTACAATATCTCAAAATTAAAAAGTAGACATTTGACAACAATGTCATATTTATATCGTTGCATCATAAAACAAATGACAAACTCTTGAATGCGATGCAATCTATGAATACTTGCTCTCTATATGATTGATTATGTCGACTCAATTAGGCAACATAAAGTAATAATTATCTTGACGCTTTCACAAGGTACTCTTGGTTTGCATATTATCATCCAAACACCTCATTGAAAAACCGTTGAGCACTTGTATGATACGATAACTATCAACTCGCAGTAAAAAGATCCAACTAAATATGCCATTTATTCAGCATATACTTCAAAATACCAAATATGCCGAAACTTTTCATCAATGTCAATCAAAATTATTCCAAGCTTTCTTACATTACCGATAGAACTCATCTACCAAATTCTAAACAATCTTAAATGTTTAGATATTTGATGCTCGGTGAAAAATATTTGCACATATTTCATTACAAATGTCGACCGCTACTATTGATATCTGATAAAATATTGTTATACATGAAAACTTCATTTTCATGATTCATAAAATACTATCATTTCTCTAACAAAGCAAGGTTTTCAGATGTTACGCTCCGTTGTGAATCAGGTATTGGCTATTTTATAGAGTTCAGTGAGTATAAAATCTGACATAAAGGATTCCTAGGACGTTGATTACAGCCGCCGTAACGGCCGAATACGACAATGTATACTGTCATTTTATACAGTTTACGGTCGTAAATAGTCGTAAATTGACGTTTTGGTAGCGATAGTATCACGGTCGTTTTTCATGGTATCGCATGCAGTTAGTAACGGTCGTAAATGGTCTGAAAATTGAGTGTCCAACAGTTTATGACCGGACTTGCTTGACTTGGGGTTTATAAGTATACTGTAATTTTTAGGAACTAAGACATACCATATCTTCTGAAGTATCATTATGAGACTCTTAACTGAGGCTTTGAATTCTAAGAATATTATAATTTCAAGTCGTTTAAGTCTTTAATTGAATAAAACATATTCGTCTATAAATATTCATATGTGATTCTGAAATACGAACGTGAAGCACATCTTTACTCTGAATATTTTGCTTATCGTCGATTGTGTGAATGATACACTAAGATTCAGAAAAAATTCACTAATCATAACATATAATTCACGTCCTCCTTCACATGAAAAATATCTTAGAGTGAAGAATTATCTTATAAAATCGGATGTGAAAAGAGCGAGGAAGAATTCAGCAATTAAATGTATGTAAGAAATGATCTTGAATATTCTTTAGAATAATTGCAGACGTATTATTTGGTTATTCTATACTTACATGATTGATGATATGCAAAATATTCAGAGTAAAGATGTGCTTCAAGTTCGTGTTTCAGAGTCACATATGAATATTTATAGACGAATATGTTTTATTCAATCAAAGATTTAAACGACTTGAAATTATAATATTCTTAGAATTCAAAGCCTCAGTTAAGAGTCTCATAATGATTTTTCAGAAGATATGGTATCGCATAGTTCCTTAAAAGTACAATATGTCTACGAACCTTTTATGTTAGATTTTATACTCACTGAGCTCTACAAAACAACCAATACCTGATTCAAAACGGAGTGTAACATCTGGAAACCTTCCCTTATAAGATACAAGTTTGTATCCTGTTACACCAGTGTATTATTGTTGCTCAATCATCCATTATTAAATATCAATGAATAAATTTGATGATCTCCTAAAAACGACTTAAATTTAAGTCTTGCTTCAAAACTAATGCACTACCGACACAAACTGAGAGGAAATATACCACAGCCACTAGAAGACAGCCAGCTATAGAAAACAGAGCGCTATTAGTTGACTTGACCATATCGTAATTAAATCTAAGCGAATGGTACTGAAAACCTGCACTTGAAAGTTCACCACTGAAATTAACGCAATGCTAATAATACTCCGATCGATAATTTCCAGTAATAATAACCGCAAGAGGCTATGTTATTACAGTTACAAAGCGATAAATAAATAATATCTTTGAATGATATCCATCAACTTGAATAATAAATACACTTCACACGAGTTCAAAAAACATTCCAACCAGTATAAGAATATTCTGACTACGAGTGCACAAAAGCTTTCATCCATCGCTCAGATATTTTCGTTTTTCTACTTCAAACAATGGCCAGCATCACAGATTAATAATTTGGAATTTTTTCGCAGATACTCATAACCGTTACTGTTTACAAAGATGCAAAACAGCAGCATGCATTTCCAAAAATTTTGAACACAATTTGCATCCACTAGAAAAAGTTGTATAGTTGTCGATAGTTTCGTTGTTTCTTTTCTCAAAAAAAGGATTACAATGCTCATGATTCAATTCAAAATGTTTGCTGTTTAGCTAATACTCACATATATATGTCCCATTTTTATAGACATTCACTAACGCTTCTCTAACACTCATTTTCTCATCGATATACATTAACACTCAATATTCTGAATCTCTTTCACAATCCAGTCCATATTGAAGAAACGAATGTGGGCGTGGGTGGATAGGCGTTTTCTTTTTTCTTGTTATTACATCCACACAGAGGCATCCACCCACACCCAGGTCCACTTACACTCACACGCACCTACGCACACCTTCACCCCCATCGACACTCTGGTGACAGAAAGATGAGAGTAGATCTTGACAATGATACTGAGCGTACTTAGGGTGAGACTCAGCAAAGTGAGCGTTAATGAGGTGGAGTGAGTCATGTTCAATGAGGTTAGCCCTTTGTTATCTGATGAATTTCTCGGTAGTCGCTGGTCGCACGCGCACGTAAATAGAATAACAATTTCATTCATCAATTCAACGTTATATACTTAAAAGGAAAGGGAAAAAAAGAATTAATTATCATTATGAGTATATTCGATAGAAAACCGTTTAACACGATGACTGTCCTGATTGACGACATAGAGATTGCCATATTGGTCGAAGGACAAACCCATGGGGCCGTACAATTGATTTGCTCCTACTTCTTGGCTATTTCCACCCACAATGATAGTACCCTGTTTTGCTCCTTCAGGCCAACGCATCACCCGATTCATACGAAAGTTTGCCACATAGATAGTACCCAACGTATCAACGAATAGTCCTTGAGGATTCAACAATTGTGGCGAAGCATTTCCTTGGTTTTCACCTCCAGCGACGACAATGCCTTCTGTTGCACCTTTAGGCCATTTCATCACACGATGATTGAAGTGGTCTGACACGTAGACAGTCTGTTGTCGATCGACAAAGATATAGTAGGGGTAGTTGAGTCGTTTACGACCAAAACCTAGACCACCGCCACCAGCTACGATAGTTCCATTGTTGTCTCCTATTTGATATCGTCGTACTTCATGTTTATCAACTTCAGAGATGTAAAGATATCTCTGATCATCCATGGCTAATCCATGACAACTTCCGTTGTCGAGAAGGATTTCTCCTTGATTTGTGCCACTACGACGAGACCATCGTACGACTCGTCGATTGTCATAATCACAAATAACGAGACTATCAGTCTCTTTGTCGATCAACACATCGGTCGGTTCATTCAGCTGATCCAATCTATTTCCTTCGCCATTACCACCAGCTACTACTTGTCCAATCGTATTACCCATCTTCCATTCGATGATACGATGATTGAAGCGGTCAGCAATGATCATTGTTTGATTATCATCAATGAAGAGACTCTGAGGACTTCGAAATTGATTGATGCCAGCTCCATATCCATGGCCTCCAGCAACAGTCACTCCATTCTGTGTCCATCGAGCATCAACTGGAATATTAGGAATCACTACAATGAACAGAAAAAGAAAAGGAATCGTCATCTTCGTTGTTGTCAAAGAACAGATCCTATTCTCTTGCATGAAAACGTTGTGAATGAGACTTTCCTCGTGGACAAAATTCGATAAAAATTTCGAAAATCTTCTTTTCGATATAAGTAGTCAGTAGCTTTTTCCTAGTTTCCTATGAAAAAAAGGGTTTCGAAGCGATTTTTACATCTAAGTCAGTTCTCGTTCCTGTCAAAATCTTTAAAATGCTACTAATCTAATACAGACCTTGGAAAGAAAATAAGACTGATACTTATCCTATCTGAGATCTCCACAGAAGCACATAGGCATGTGTAGTTTTTATGCGTAATTTAGAAAGAATGATTCTTAATGTGATGATCAGAAAGAGTTCTACAAATGAGTGGAAGTAAGTCACTGTGAGTGAATACAAAAAGACGAAAAACAGTATAAACAAGTCGAATAAATACGTATAATAGATATAATAATTATTTCATTACAGCATATGATCCCTTCATCAACTTTTTTTATTGTACCAAAAAAAATGATTGTACCAATTGGATAGTATTTAAGGCCGATAAATTAATGGTAGAAAATAATTTGCTGATCTTTCATTTTGTTCTTTTCCAATATAATAAACATTTAATGCAAATATGGCTACTTAGTTTTCTTAATATTCTAGAACGAGAATAGATTCAGAGGTCTTTAGGCCCATTTTCGACACTTTTACTTTCGGCAAAATCTGAGAAAATCAGCTTCAAACCGTTGTTGTAGTAGGATTCTAGAAGAGCATAACGAATTAAAAAGTATACTGTGTTAAATCTGAAATTTTGAAAGTTGGAAGATATTCTATCAGAATCTTGCTATAATCGTTCTGTGGTACTTGTTTTGAGCATATTCGTTTGAGCTAACACGTTATGAATATCTTCACGACAATCGCATTAAGGAGGATTGTAATCAGTCGACATCGAGCATTGACTCGCTTATTAGAAATCATTATCATGAACGGAAAAGAAAAGGAATCGTCATAGTTGTTAACAAAGACAGTTCTCTCGCGCAAGAGGAAGAACAACAAATGCGATATTCGTCTTCGAAAAGAACTCGGTAAAACTTTCGAGAATGCTCTCTTCGTAGTTTTTTAAGAAAAAAAATTCATAAACATTCTTACACTTGTGTGGCCTTGGCTGATTCCAATTCTCTTCATTGGTGGAGAAATTCAAGTAGAATCTATGACAGTCTGTATTTGTAGAAACCTATTAAAGCTTTTACCAAGTTCTTTAAGATCCTGAAATTAGAAGCTTCGCGGTGGATGAAAATTGTAGCTGAAGATTACTATAAGGAAGTTTTTCGAAAAAGAACGATGCTAATTCAATGCAAGCTTTCAATATGAAAACGTTGGGATCTGAAAATTGAATATGGAGTTAATGGAATGCAGAATCTTTGCAGAATTCTCGAAAAAGAGTACTAGGAAGCTTGATTCTCCCCCGAGGCTTTATATGACTATTGGACAAGGATCTAAACAATAAAATAATGAGACGTCGGTAGACTCGTTCAATTGGTGGACCGATAAACAGCAGTGTACTGGTACACAACCCAGTTTGAAATCTGTACCGGTATTCATCGCATCTCTGCAGTCAATCATTTGTTCAAATAATACATACTTTGAAGGTAAAGAGTTATTGTCTTCGTTCGTTTTTCATACGGTTTTCGTATAGCATTCAGGTTTGATGCTATATTTTCGTAGCTGGACTAGTTACATTCCAGCATTGCTTTCTTCTCATGCATTCTATACTTTTACTATCCATATTAAATCTTCAATAACACGAATGTTTTGGTATTTTTAACTTATTTGAATATTTTATCCATATTAAATGAATCACTAATAAAGAATCTTGAGAGCATGAGTCAATATAGTTCTGTATATGTCGAGTACGCTTAATTTATTTATATCTAGTAAGTCACATGAATGATCAACTAATCAGTCATTGATTAATATTATATCATTCGACAGTGAAATGTGTACTCTCTGTCGAAAACCGAAACGAAGCTCTGTGCGATCTTGATTGGTAAAACTATAAGTGAAATGCTCTACAAAAATGATCTATAATATCGAAACAGCTGACTTCGAAATAATGTGAATCCAGACGGAGATGAGGATGAGAAGGTGCTTAGAAAAAAGGGCACTCTTATAAAATGAATAGGAAGAATAGGTTTCGTTTTATAGCCGTCAACAAAACGAATCAAACTTCGACAATGACGAAAAGAAGTCAATATAGAGATTACGATTACTTGGTTTTTACTTATGATAAGCATTGAACTACTTCTATTGTCAGATCGTTGATCTTATCAAAGTAATCTCCAGCTCGCTGCAGAGTAATATTTCATACAAAAGAATTATTTATGCTTCAGTAAAAATTAGCATTTGCCAAGATCAATAAGCGTTAATCTAATGCTTACCTAGTTGTTGAGTAGTGGTTGTAGTTGTGGTTGGAATTGCAGTTGTAGTGTTCCGAGCTATTAATTATCATAGAACATTAATATAAACAAAACATATAGTTTAGGTTGGACATAGAATCCGATATAGAACTCGAAGTACTTAAAATTTAAATGACATCTAAGCAATGTTAAAAAGCAGAAAGACGGTCCCACATTGTCTGGAAATCGTATTTTTTCTTTCAAAAATTGATTATTGATGGAGAACCTCTGTGTCCAGTAGGGATCCGAAACTCAGTAAAATGTTCGACATTTCGATTCGATGTGATTCAGATGAACCAAATTAAATCGAATTCAATTAAATTGAACCAAACCCAACAAGATCGTCCTACTCAATACGAGCAATGATTAAAATACAGTAGATACTGTTAGAGTACAAAATAGTTATTCGAAGTATGAAGTTTGCAATGTCAACTACATTCTGCGCTTATTAGTATTTTATTGTGATAGTTAAATCAGTGGTGCTAGAATCTCTGAAAAAACAATTGACATAAATGGCTACACTGTTTATTATTAGTGGCATATATTTATCCCATGCAATCACTAAAACTCTCTTTAGTGTCAGCAGTTAATTTGTCTGAGATAAATGATCAATCTTCAATTTCGAAAGTTTAGTCATTAGAAACATGATGAAGAGAGTTATAAATACGTTTTCTTTCCTGCCATATGTCAATTACAGTTGTTTTGAAACAAACAATAGAATTGATGTGCTCTTATAGAGATACAAACATATGACAGGCTTTACAGAATCGAATGAAAAATCGTTTAATTTGCTGCGGTTTCTGGTTTACATTCAAATGTTAACTCCATCCTCGTGTATTGATAGATATAACTGCAGCAGGTTATCTATTTCAAATTAATGGATATAATCCATAAGAAGTGACGAAATTTTTCCTCCAATAATTACGATTCGTTTTCTTTTTGTACTATGCTTAATCTAGTTTTTTCAAAGGCACTTCGATTCTTTCCCACTGCTCCTATGCCAACATGAATTACAAATGTACGGGTGTGTGAATGATGAAGAAATAGCTTTAAGAAAGGTTTGGTTTCTTACTTGCTATTGCTGGACAGAGTTGTTGATTGAAACTCGAAATCGGATAACAAACAGGAAGATTATGACATCGAGGATGATGAACACATCTATGATTAGGGTCACGACAAGAGTTGTTTGAGCGTTCGCATGTAAATAGCTCAGAGCAATCGACGAATTCGTCACCACAAATACCAATACCAATAGAACCTGCTATATGAAAACAGGCACACGCACTATTAGGCGAACATCGATCATATTGAGATATCCCATGGCAGAATTGAGATTTCACTCGAACTAGCGGCACACTAAATTAATAGAAGAACATGTAAAATGAAACAAAAAGCAAACCTGTAGGGCTTAAAAGAGAGATTGTTCAATATTAGAGGAATTGAAAAAAAATAGATTTTAGAATTACCTGAATAGAACAAATATGAAATAATCAATTATTGCTGACACCATTGCTTGTTTTGAAATGAGATAGAATAACTGCGACACCCATCTTTATATCTAATGAAGAAACAATGTTTTTCGCATTTGCTGAAAATGAAGAAGCGCATCACGTAATCTTTCGATAAATAGATATTCAATATTGTTCCACTGCTTTCTTAAGAACTTACTTTTTCTTCGAAAAGTAATCTTTATAGAAGAAAAAGCATTTGTAAAAGCAATATAGGATTACTTCTATGATATATGCATTTAATAGGCTTGTGCTATTATTGGAAACGTGAATAGTGTTATTATCAATTATCGACTCACTATGTAATGACGACTGAGAACAATTTCAAGGACAAATTTTGTTTTTTAATATTGATATTTTTCTTAAAAGCAGTTTAAAGAAGTTCGCATATTGATCAAATCAAAATAACAATCTGTAGCCGGTCACATTCGTTTGTACTTTGGACTGTGCCTTTGTTGGATTTCAAAGATTTATTTATTCAACTTCATCGTCAAATCTTATTTCTCACATAAACATATTTAGTTTAAGAAAAGATTTTTTATGAAAATAATGGGATAACTACAAAGTTATTCCAATGGTGAAGCAGAAATACGTTTCGTCTGCAGAAAATTTTTCGGACGACTCATCCCCTCCTTTGAAGAGTTTTCAGTCAGCCACACGATGCGAAAATGCTCTCTCCAGTAAAATACCCATGTATAATAAATTCAGTCACGTTCGACTTTAGATGTCAAAGTTATTTATCAACTTTCATATGAATGATGTTCAATTTTTTTCTCGATATCCTCCTTTCAAGTCAGAGATTTGACTACACGAATCTTCGTTTAATCTTGCTATCATCGCTCTTTGTTGTCATCATTGACTATCGAACAAAGTTGGATCAAAGATGTGCATTAATGTAGGTGCGTCTAGCGTTGTAAGTGAAGACCTTTCTATACAATCACTGGCCACGTGATAGTCAGAATTACTCTTTTGAAGCTTTTTGCTTTTCTTCTGTGTAACTTCTTTAAGATTGGAAAGCTTTTACCGTCGTCCGAAAAATGAGTAAGCATTCTGAAG